TTTGATTTTAGGCTTCAAAAGGTAAGAATTCATGCTCTTTATCTGATTCATTTGTGTAAAGGTTGAGTTCTTATGAAGTTTATGATTAGGGTTAAGAGAAGATTTGAATCCAATAAGAGTAGAAAGCTTAGGAGAGACCACTCAAGCATAAGTTAAGTAAATTTCACTCAAAATCCAACTCAAGTTAAAGTTTAAGAAAATCAAGTGAGTAGAGATTTCTTTTAAATATGCATATGTTATGATTATTGAGAAATTGAGATGAGATGGATGATTATTTATGCTTGTTGTTGGATATATTTGAATATGAGGAGTGTATGTGATGGTTTGATGATGAGTTGAAATTGGAAGAATTGGAGAAACTTTTGAGAGTGTTTTTGCCGTGTAGGTATGGTGATGTTACAAGAGAGTTTTTCTCTCAATTTGGATGGTTTAAGAAACAAATAGAATGATAATTACATTAGGGTTTGTTTATGCACAAGTATTGCTTGATGAAATGCCTAAGAGAAGTATGAGTTGAGTAGAAACCTTAATTTTATGCAACATTGCATATGTGCATTTCATAAGTGCATTTAAGTAAGAAATTTTAAGCATGAGCCATCCATATACATATAATTGTGTATGTGTAGAAACTTAAGAAAGAATAAATAATAAATAATAAAGAAAGAAATAATAAAACATTCTAAGAATAACGAGAAAGAAAGAATAAGCATTAAAGAATTAAAGAAAGAAAAAATGTTAAAGAAGAGAAAAGAATAGGTTGGTGTGATAGGGAACCATGAGTGTTAAGAAGAAATTCCCACATACATGTCACCTTAATTGAGTGGCATAAGAAGAAGAAGAATTGTACGACCCGTAAGAGTGTATGTGGATGAGGGTTGTACCAAGAAGAATTCTTGCATGCACACCATCTTAATTGAGTGGCATAAGAAGAAGAAGAATTGTACGACCCGTAAGAGTGTATGTGGATGAGGGTTGTACCAAGAAGAATTCCTACATGCACGTCACCTTAATTGAGTGGCCTAAGAAGAAAAAAGAATTTGTATAGTCCGCAAGAGTGCATGTAGATGAGGACTATACTTACTCACACGGCTAAGGTTCTGAATTCATACATCAACCGAGTCCGATCGGCAAAGAATAAGAAAAGAAAGAATAAGAAAGAATGAGAAAGCTTGAACAAGCAAAGAAAAGAAACAAGAAAGAAAAGATAAGCTTGGGCAAGCAAGACAAGAAAGAAAAGAAAAGCATAGAAAGAAAAAGAAAAGAATATAATATAAAAGAAAAGAAAAGAAATACAAAGAAGAGAAAAAATGCATTTGTATGCATTATTGCATATGCATTTCATTTATGCCTATTCCCATGAATTTTATTATGGTTAGAAAGAATAGAAAGAGTAAGAAAGAAAGAATAGAAAGAGTAAGAAAGAAAGAACAGAAAGAAAGAAAGAAACGGAGAGAATTAGAAAGAAATAAAATAACAGTGAGAATTAGAAATAAAGAAAGAAAGAAGAAGAGAATTAAGTAAGGAAAGAATCAAAGAAGAAGAAAGTTAAGGGATTTACTTACTGAGTATTTTTATGCTCACCCCGTTGTTTTTCCATGTTTTTGCAGGAAATAGGTGAGCAGCGGTCGGAAGGATGTCGATAAGCGGAGAGAATTGACATTACTGTCCACCGTTGCTAAGTTTTTGTACTTGTTATTTTGATATATGTAAAGAATTATATTTTGTATGTAAAGAAAAATTTGGGCCTAACTATTTTCATATGCTAATTATGTATGTTTTCATAGTATATGTTATAAAATATACTATTAGAAAGAAGCCATTACATTATTTGTGAAACGTGAATGTGTGATTGTGTGAATATTATATTTATGTTAAAATTAACAATTAATTTATTTACTTTTAAAAACTTACTAATCTACCCCTAAAAATTACTAAACTCTCTACAGAATTTCTTTTCCCCTATAAAATATAAAAAAATAAAGAGGAAAATAAAATTTTACAAACCTATAGGACCTGTCCTATGGGCCCAAGATTAGTTTGGGTCCTGAAATTAATCATGGACCTAGGACTAGTCCCAAACTCAAAAGAGACTAGTCCCAAACTGGCCAGACCCGGGCCCGCTTGGGACCGGTCTTGACCAGCTCCAGTGACCATCCATCATAATGTGAAATCCACCGATTGTTAATGTATCCGTACGACAATTGTATTTAAGGATGCAGTTGAGACAATTAACCTTTTGAGCAATCCATTTAAGACTGCTTTAAATTTGAACATGGAAGTCGGTCCTCTGGAATGGGCTATACATTATTTATATTATCATTTTTTTATGATAATTATTAGGTTACAAATTAATTAATAGAACAATAAACAACAATATTATATTAATTTTTAGGAAAATTATATTAAATGACTCATTGTTAGAGACTCAGTTAAAAAATAGCCTATTCTAAAAGCATCTCAAGAAATAACCTTATTTCAAAGTTTTAGCACTCATTCAATTAAAATACTTTTCTTTTCTTTTTTAACTAAAACCTGAAGTTAAGCAGTAACTAATTGATAGACATCTATCAGTCAACCAATAACATCTATTATTCAACCGGTGGAAAATGATCAAGTTTCTATCGAATAGAGACTATTTTGTTTTAAGACTATCTAATAGAAACCGATAGATCTACTGCTCATCGATAAAAATGGTATAGACGGAGTCCTAAAACAAAACAAATTCTATTTGATGTATTGGAAAACCTCTTTATAGTCATAATATTTTGATTTCTTATTTTATAATTTACGTTTTAGTAGTATGTACAGTAAAACATTTTTTATAGCCATAATGATATGATTAATTGATTTTATTACTATGATGAGATTATAATTTAATAAAGGTGTAGTTACAAAAATTTCTTGTTTTATAATTCATGTTTTAGTAGTACATTATTAGGATTTCAATTCATGTTTTAACAATATTAGGATTTCAATTAAACGTTTCAATTGCCTACTTTTTAAACAAATAGAAGATTGTATCTTGGAACCAGCAAAGATAAGTGTCCTTGATGATATTGTAAATACAGTTGCTGCATGGTTAAATTGATGTGAAGTCACAAACAATTATCAATTGTTTTAAACATTATAAAATTAAGATTCCTGATGTCGATGAATTGTAAGTTATAAATAAAGTGGATGAGAATAATCAAAGAGTCATTGTACAATGGAGTGATCAGATTTGACAACTTCGTTACACTAATCGAATGGATATTAATGTCTTCCTCAATCATTCAAATGAGCAACAAGTTATGTATATTTTAATTGAAGAAGAAATCATTACTACAATTACACAAGAAGAGAAATGAAATAATCATGAGAATAATAGTACGGAAATACAAAAAGTTTTGTGGTAAGAAGCTCCAAACATGCTTGAGAAGCTATAAATATTTTGGTTTCAATAAGAAAATGTCAATGCTAGTGAGTAATGTACTCGAAAGTTAAAAGATATGGTAACAACTCTAAAACACAAATTATTTTTCCAAACAACTTTAGAGAAATATTTTATTTCATCTTAAACTTTTAATGTGACAAATAATATATTTTTTTGCAATATACACATAATTATTACTATGTGTAGGCAACTTTCCTTAAGACGAAAATTTGAAAAATTATAAATTATTACAATATACAGTTTATTCTTATTTATAACTATCTCAAGTTGGGAATATGATTTTTTATGACTATGTAGAGTTTATTTTTATATAGAGTATCACTATAAATATGTTTTACTGTATTATAATTTCAATTCATTGTTTTAGTAGTATTAGAATTTCTTATTTACTTTTAATATTATTCGATTACTTATTTTATAATTCATATTTTAGATAGATATTTTATTTCATCTTAAACATTTAATGTAACATACCATATATATATATATATATATAAAGATAATTATTACTATGTGGATGTAACTTTCTTAAAACGGGAATTATAAAATTATAATTTATTATAATGTGGGATTTATTCTTATTTATAAATATCCCAAGTTGGTACTAGAATTTTTTATGATTATATAAATGTTATTACTATATAGAGTATCATTATATAAAAGTTTTATTGTATTGGATTAGTTTCTATGGGTTTGGAGTTAAGAAAGGTTAATTTGGTCTAATCGATGCTGAAATTTTGAAATATGACTATCTTCTAAGAGACTTTTATAAAATAGATTATCTCCTAGATTATTTAGTATAATTTTCCTAATATTTATATAAGAATTTGCACATGAAATTTGTTTCATTTCGTAGTTCATATGTCTACAAGTAGATTTCATTAAATTAGGTTTAGTATTTAGGTGATTTATTGGAGTTATGGACTATTTCAACAATAAGGAGCGAGGCAAACAAATATAAGGGTCCTGTTGCCCATTGAGTGAGTTGGCGCCCTCAGGCTCGTAGGCAATTTGGGCCTATTCAATGAAAAACCACTGTAGAATTTCTCTCAATAATAAAACCCCTTATAGAATTTGGGCCTAGGAAAAAAGATTCTAATAATATTAGGTTTTTCGCATTAAACTTAGTATAAACATAGTATTCTCTTGTATGAGTGATATCAAATATCATAGACAAATACATTCATTGTAATGAGAGAGATGAGAAAATATTCTAATAATATTGACTTCGCTGGACATAACCCATTTTTTCAGTGAACTGACGTAAATCGCACGTATACTTTTTCTTTGCTATTTATACTATTTGTGTGTGATTGTTTACTTGTTTGGTTTCGATTACTCTTTAGATTGTTTCATGATTAAGCTAGGCCACTAACTGAGTTATCAAGTGAAATCGAGACGAGATAACTAAGTACAAATTAGGAAACTTACTACATAATTCAATCCAAAATATAGCTGTCGCTTTTGCCGAATTGATCATATGTCTTAATTGTAACTGCTTCCACTCTCGTGTACATTTTAAGACCAGTAGTTTCAATAGAACTTGCAATATAAGTTTTGCAGTCCACAAAAAAAGGTGTGTGGTGTTGGGTTTGAGAGCATTAATTTCGATTGGGGCTTCAGTCTTTCAGAGACTTGGAATAACAAAGTCATCGACCGAATGATGTGGGATTGAAAGGAAGAAAGATACATTCAGTTCAGCTAATTGAGATCGATCAGATATGGATATACTGAAAACTGAGGCTTTTCTGAGGCTTTGTGCAACTTTAGTCTTTGTGTTGGCAGCATGTTTAGACCGATTCGATAATCAAACCAAGTTTATCATCTTCTTTGAGAGAAAAATTACGTTCAAGGATTTGAAAGCCCTCCAGTAAGCTCTCTCTAGCTAGCTCTTTAATTAATTATCTCGTACTTGAATTTTTCTTAATTGTTTGTTTAATTGAAATTTATGTGATATTAGAGCTTTGGTCTATGCTGCTTTTGGGGCTGCGGGTTATAATCTTCTTCAACTGAGTAGATGCATTTTCTTCATAAGTTGCTTTCATGGAAATTTGTCCAAGAGGTCTTACAGATATCTTGCTTGGGTTTGTTACTTGTTGGACCAGGTAATTCCTTTACACACACATGAATTTCTTCAAATTGAATAAGGTTTTTTTTTTTTTTTTTTTTTTTTTTGGTGATATATTCACAAAAGAAGTATTTGGTCCTTTTTTTCTGATACTAATGATTTAGTAATATTTGATAAGAAAAAGTTTAAATCATTTTTTTTTATTAATATTAACTAACATTAATAAATAGATAAAAGAGATGATAGTTAATTAAGTAATGAATTCTATATATGTAGGAAATTGATTTCTACTATATTTTTCTCCCCAAACTGATCTGGCAAGACATCACTTCAATCTTGAAAATTTAGAAGGATTGAAGTGATGCATTAAAGAAGTAACTAGCTAAGAAAAAAACGATCAGCAAGGATGGACCTACGTCGAGGCAAGTGGCGGCTGGTGACCCCACTCACCTGATCTCCAGCTGTGTGTTTATTCATTTGCGTTTAATGTGAAGTATCTTCATTTTTTTATTTTTTATTTTCTTGCCAATTAGCTTCCCACTATCAGTTAGTCTCTCTCATGTTATGTCCACCTTTAAACACTTCAAAGTTTATAATTGTTGATTTTCATAGATAACCAATATGTCTAAATTATATATTTGTTATTGTTTAATATGTTTATGAATATTTTAAAAGGTCTATAAAAATAGATAAGAGATTAATAGATAAAGATATGTAACTCATTTAAATAAATGGGTAAAGATAATAATAATAATAAAGAACACTTATATTATATTCAATTTTGAAACTTTAACACCCTTTTTTAATTCATGAAATAATTATAAGTTTATGAAATGAAAATACTATAAATATATATTTCAATTTTGTTACGTATTATTTTTGTAAACTTATTAAATTCCAAATTATTTTCATTAATAATTGAAGATGTCTTGATGTTCTGGAGTTTAAATCTATGGAGAAAACTATATTAAATTCCAAAATATTAAATGCTTTTTCCCATCTAGTTATCACATGAAGCTCAAATCATGAATCTTTGATTATTCAATAAGTAAAACTTAATCTAAAGTATTTTATCTAGCATTGCGTATTTTAGGGCGAAATGTGTTCAAGAATGTGATGTTTAATTGATTAATTAATTAAACAGGTAGTAGTTTACCTTACATTTGCGACGAACTCAGCGGCGATTGAGCAATCAATGCTAGTAGTAACAGGGATGAAGGAATTTCAGTGGACGAAATGGTGCAACAAATACACAAGATTCTGCTTCCAAATCGGGGGAGCAATTTTCTGTTGCTATGTAGCTTGTTGTCTTATGGCTTTTACAACCTTCGTCTCTGCCTTCAATCTGTTTAGACTCTATTCGCCCAAGAAGTTCCTTCGCGTTAAAAACACATGAAGGTCTTTTAATTTTAATTTATAATAAGCTTGATGTAACTTTATATACAAATAATATTTATAAATTCTAATGTATTAGTGTTATCAGAAAACTTTATGCCTTGAAGGAATTTAAAGTTGGCCAAGCACAGTGTGTTGTTCTAAGTGTCATAATTTATTTGAATATTCATTCTTGATTTTGTTAAAAAAAATTATCATCAACTATCTTCATTGTTATATATATATATAATAACATTATATCTAATTTTTTAAGTTGACATATGATAACGCAATGTATTATTTATATGAGAATCAGAGCATTGTTTCAGTTAACAAGATTTTACTTTGATTTAAGAGTAAAAGAAACAAAAAAAAAAAAAAAAAAGCACCGACGGACCTATATACATGACGTAGAACGTCTAACAGATGTATTCTTAAAGAGAGTCGAGCATCAGAAACCCAAACACAAGCAAGTCAACTTAAAACAACCATAACATTTTATCGGGACTCATAAGATATCAACGGCAAACTCGTTTCGAGCTCAATGATATGACAACCTTAACCCCCATTTGGGGGTTATTTTTTAGGCTAAAATTCACTGTTTTGGCATGTTTTGAGATCGTTTAAGTTTTTTGCCCCTTTTTCCTATTTTGTTTAGAGTCCTTTCTTATTTTGTACCTAGTCAACAATCAATATTTCTTCTTTTAATTAATTTGCGTGTTTAATTATGATTTTCTTTCCTTGTTTGATTAGGAGTCTTGTTAGGGTTGGTTGTTATTACCCTATATAAACATATTATTCATTTTACTTCAAACTGTAATACTTAAGTTTCTGTGTTGAGACTTGTCTATCAATTTTAAAGGTATAGTCGAGTGCTAGCCTTGTTGTTACACTAAGTCGTTACATCAGTACAAGTTGAGGGAAAACTGATAAATAATCATATTTTCATTTCACTTTTTAAAATATCATACATTCTTAGCTTTTGATTATTGATTTGTATATTATTTACTACTTTGTTTTTTATGTTGATATAAAATCTCGTTAAAGAGCTTTTAATTAATCTGTTTATCATTATATATTATTTAGTTTTCACTTTCTTTTCTTCATGATTTTTTGCCTTACTCTACTTGGAATTAATTACTAATATCTCAATAGCTATTAGAACAAAACAAATTTGAAGAATATAATGCAGTTTTCTGATATAAATTTTCAAATTTGATATTTTTATAACATAAAAAATAGTTCATGTCATATAAAATTTCTTTAAATTTTAATATTTCTATGGTGTCTCGTCTCATATAAATTTATGAGTCTGCTACTGAAAAAATGTCAACATCCTTGTATTACAACAATATCCATTATGATATATCCTAAATTTTGATCAACAACATATGCTTCAATACTATATATATTATCAAAGGTGGATCCAACTTAGTTTTGGGTAGGCCATGACCCATTCTTAATTTTTTTTTTAAATACTAATATGTACAATTTTTGGATTTTGGCTCAACTTAACAAAAATATTAATGGATAAAAATATTAATATCTAATTAGTTTTTATTTTGATTCATCGTAACAGAAATTTCTAGATCTATTATTGTATATTATGGTAAAACATTTTTACAATAGTGAAAGATTTGAAATGTAATTTGAATATTTATACTCATTCTTAATGTCATAGTCGTCTGTTGGAGGATGATGATGAGTCTATTACTAATTTAATTCTGTAAGCTACTTGTTCAACAATGAAGTTAAAACTGATGGGTGGGTCCCGTAAAAGACGAGGGTTGCATTGATTTCTTTAGGCATACGTGCCTGCAAATTAGAGAAATTGGTTCAATTTTTATCCACATTCTATTAAGGAACACTCGGATAATTTTTGGGCGGTTCAAATGCTTTCAACAAGAATATTGTTATTTGAGTCCCGCCTAGGGGTGTAAACAAGTCAAGTCGAGTCAAGTTTTAGGCTTAACGAGCTCGGCTCATGTGCTACAGGTTCGAGCTCGAGCTCGAATTCGAGCTTTAAGCCTGTCAAGTTAAGAAAAAGGGGCTCGAACCGGCTCGCGAGCTTGGCTCGATCAGCTCAGTAAGATACATATTCAAAATTCTTCCCAGCTCATGAAATATTTTTAACAAAAACAGTTTACTCACCAAATTCTTCCTTCAATTTCCAACCGACAACAGCAAGAACACGTGATTAGGGGTATCACTTTCACGGTGGACCGAAGATTTGAGAGTTGAAGTGGATTTGGGAGTTTACGGTTTGCGTCGATTTGGGGGTGAAGAAATTGTTTCAATGTTTGCGAGATGGAGTTGTCGTTTCTCCAACTGGTTTTTCGATCGGTGACGGCAACAAGGCGGGTTGAAATTGGCTGATTCACGGTGAAGAGGTTTAGGGTTCGTTTGGTTAGTGTTTGCGATTGGGGGGAAACTGATTTGGGGGAGAAACTGTTGTGTTTTACTATTTTTTAGTTAGGGAGTAAATGTCATTTTTTGAAGTTTTTTAAAAGTGCAACTTTATTATCTGCCCCACATGGTTTATAAAACTAACCCAAAAGTCTCTACGAGTTCGAGCCACACCAGGCTCGCGAGCTCACGAGTCGAGCCTCCCCACTCACCACGAGTCGAGCTCTTAACGAGCTTCAAATGAGTCAAGTCGAGCCGGCTCGTGAGTCGCTCGACTCGTTTGACAGCCTTAGTCTCGCCTAAACTTTAAGAAAGTTACCTCTCCCCTTGTGGTCGGATGACAAACCTTTGAGTCATTGGGGTTAGTTATACGCAATGGGTCTTTTCTTCGAGTTATAGGAGATGTAGCTACTACATTTATATAATTACCTTGATTTATTAGGCTTGTCGGGTGTTTCATGACCTTGAGGATTATGCAGACTCCAATGTGGACTTAGATACCTCATATACTTTAAAAAAAAAAATTAAAAAAAAAATTAAGTAACCCTTATTATTAATTTTTTAAAATTTTAAAATATATTGTATATACAAAATTATCAAAAGAAACTATTTATAGAAATAACTCTTTACAAGTTTTTCCAGTTTTTGAAAAATTTAAAACATCCTGAAATTCTCAAATAAGAATTTTATTTATTTTAAACATCACGTAAACTTTATAGAATTTTTAAGAAACTCTTCCAAAATCCTTTATCTCTAATTTGATCCCCTTCATCTAAAAACTTTTGGTTCAACTAAACCACTTTAATTACTGGTTTTGTTTGCTTTTAGGGTTTCCAGTATCCACAACTACTTCTAAACCACCGATTAATTTTAGTAAGAATCTCATTCACTTTTTAAGAAGTAATCAAAACAATAATAATAATAATAAAAGTATAATGATGATTTCTTTTTCAATGAAATCTTATTATTTAATGTTTGTTGTTTCTCCTCCATAGTTAGAAATAAGAGAATTAGATTAAAAAGATTAAGTAAAGGATAATCTTGGAATATATTAAAAAATCTCTTTAAATATAAATTCTTTTTTTTTTTTTTTAATCAATATAAGGCTTACAAAGAGTTTAAGTTGGGTTTGAAAAACACCACTCTTTCAACAATTGCTACTACAAATGACACTACACAAAAAGCCTATTGGGAAATATGAGATTAGCTTAATATGGGCTATATAAAATTAACGTTTCCACACCTATGAACTAAATTAGGCCCATTTATGGCGAAATTGGGCTATCATAGGGCCTGTTTCACGTTGTTGCTGTTCTTCTTCATCTTTTACCAAATTAACAAAATAATAATAATAAAAAAAATAAAAAAACTGATAAATATTATGTAATCTTCATTTTATATTATTAAAAGGGAAGCGATTTTTTAGTTCCAATCAAATTGACAGTAGCCCTTATCTATGATATTTAAAATAAAAAAACTTCTTTAGAGCCCATTTAGTCTCGAAAATAGCCCTATTTAGTTAGAGTTTTTGTTTGTGCCCTTTTTCCCTTAATTCAAACTCAATAAAGGTTTTTGTTTACACCATTTTTTCACAATTTCAAACTTAACTATGGTTTTTATATACATCACTTTTCTCCAATTTTTTAATTAAGTTTTTTTGTTTCTAACCCTTTTTCTGAATTTCAAATTTATTTTTTCTTCTTTATATTCAGATTCATCTCATAGTGTGATTATTTTCTCCATAATTGTAGTGATATATTTTCATCAAACAAATAAATATTTGAAATAAAAATAAAATGTTTCAATGATTTAGAAATATAGAAAATGTTAAAAATTAAAACTAAAATATAAAATAGAATATGAGTGTTTTTAAAAATTATTATGTCATTTTTAGTAATTTGATGAGGACAAAAAATCACTTTCCTTATAAAAACCCGTTTAAGAAGGAATGCCACTGAAATTTACATCCTTTTTATTTTCTTCTAATCTTCATTATTACAACTCTGTGTTCTCCCCACCATATTTATCAATTCTAAATCTTTTAATAACTCTAACATTTATGTTTATTAACAGGCCGACCCAAGGGGTAGGCAGGTGAGGCACCTGCCTACGGCCCAAAAAAAAGGGCCAAAAAGGGGCCCAAAATTATTTTAAGTTTTTTTTAAATAGATTTACAGAAATGCTATTGGGTCTAAAAAAATTTATAATTTTTATCCAAACCGGTCAAAAAGGTAAAAAGGTCAAAAATGCCCAAATTCATTATAATTTTTTTACATAAATTAAAAAAAAAAAACCATGTTTCATATTTTCCACTCACACCCCTGAATTAACTAAAATAGTTATTTACATGTCTAAAATTTCAAAACACCCATGCAATCTCTAATATGATGAAAACATTGCATCTCCACCCCTCTATATCGCCATAGTGCCGCCGCTGGCATTAAAGTGATGATTCCGATAAATTTTCTCATCAAAATTGACTAGATTCATCACTTTATCATTTTCCAAATGTTTTCCTAGCCTTGATAACGCCCAATTTGGCCGATTTTTGCCAACTTTTGCAACCCATTTTCATTCTCCACCGCATGCAACAACCATTTCTGGCACGTATTGGCTGTCGTTGACCTTCCCCGACACCACCATCTTCCTCCCCTCAGCTCTCTCTCCAAAACCCCTCACTTACCTGGCCCTGGTACCCTGCCCTACCATCCACCTCTCCTAATCAGTTTTGAATTTTTTTTTTCAATTGGGTTTG